CATATCAGTTTAAATACCAGCTCAGCAATTACTTGCAAGCTCACCTGGAGTTACTTCTCTTCATTTTTAGTGTTTTTTTTTTCCCAATGTTAGAATGGATTGCAATCTCTAGTTCAAAGATTTATAAACAAAGTCACCATAAATTCACGAGAGACATCCAAAACACAGGGCCTACCTAACATTGCCTCCCAACTCAAAATCTGTCCTCAGATGCCAGACTTTGACACGCTAGAGCTGTATGTACCCTGTGTATGTCTTCTTTCCCCACTGTTGCAACACTCACTTTTATCACTAGAGGGAGCCAGTGAGACATTGCAAAGCTTAGCGTAATAACCAGGTCCCATCTCCAGTGAGTGTTCCCAGTACCCAGCAGGGGGCCTCCTGGGCTCCAACTTCAATCCTTTAAAGAAGTTAACTGCCTTTTACTTTTGGTAATTGTGTGTGCCTGTCAATTAGATTCCCCTATTCAAGTTGTGGGTATGACTTATGTCCCCAACAGAGACTCTGACAAATTCATAGCAGGTGTTTTTGAAATGGCAGTACACCGGCTCTCACCTTTAGAAGGTGTGATGCTAAACGTGATTTCATGACAGAAAGTGGCCATACATTGCCGGAAGCTATGGCAACTCTAAATTTGTATCCTCAGCCAGAGCCAATGACCATTTCCTTCTGGGAGGGCTCTGGCGGGTTACTAAGATACAAGACCTCTGCGGTGGTCCAGGGATAGGCTTACTCTAGTTGTGTCTGCTGTTCTGGCATCTGGGATGGAGGGAAGCCTTGACATGCAATGTCTGCAGTCAATAGCCTGGTCGTACTGTTCTGCTCCACAGCCATACGGGGGTGGATATGGACAGATATGAGGACATAGGTGAAATCCAGTGTTCCCATACTGGGCTTTGGGCTACTCCTAACTGGTAAGAACTCTGCTTTGTAAGCATGGGAGAGACTTGGGGAACAAGGGAAGGATTTGGGGGCCACGCCAAACTAATTGAAGAAACTGATTAAAGCCAGACTGAGGCTTACATCAGTTCCGCAGTGCTCATACTGTGAGTTAAGGCTGTTGGTTAAAGCCATGGCTGGGACTGGACTCCCGGCTGCCTCCTTGCCTTCAGGGCAGAGCAGGGGGGCTGGACAGTAATTAGTAGAGATAGCCACTAGGTGTCGCTGTCCCACCAGCATCTGTCCAGGGAACTGTGTTGACTGATGGCCAGCTCCAGGTAGGTGCAAGGGGTTTTTCATTTTCATGCTCATAAACATCCAAGGCAGAGAAGCATCTTCTCCCATACTGTAGGGAGAGAACACTGTTTGGCTTACTGCCCCAGACAGTATGAGTCTCGAGCTGTTGTGGTGCCAGGGGGTCTTTTTTTGTGGCTTAACGGCTGCCCTCAATGCTGATTGCTGATTATTAGGTACTGGCTCCTTAACACTGTCATTTGGAAGAGACCTTAGAGATCTTTGAGTCAAAGTCTTACTTTTTGGAGAAGAAGCCCAGAAGGAGAAAGCCTTTCCCTTAGGACATACAGCTGAATAGAGAAAGAACAGACTTAAGCCTTAGGCTGGGAGGTTCAGCGGAAGGCTGTGTAGTCCATCATGTCCCCTGTTTTATACTATGCTCCATCAACTACGCTCTTACCATTCATGGGGAAATAACTGGACATTTGCATAGACATAAGATGCCCTGGCATGTGACAGAACCAGTCAGGGCATGTATGAGGGGGCAGCAGAGCTAGGGAGCAGATCATTTCCCTCTCTTTGGTCAAGGATGCTTTGCCAAGAACATCCACTCTTTCTGAAGAAAAAAAAAAAGAGGATTCAAAGATGATGGGCAGTTTCACGGGCAATCCATTATCAAATGGAAGTGGTAGATACATGATCAGGCCCAAGCAGGTCCTAAGGGCACCAGCAAGTTCCATGAAGACGTTGCGCAAATGCCTACGTTCTCTACTCCTGTTACAATGCCTTCTGCTCTAAAGCATGCACCTACAGCCTCATGGGGGTGTGCACTGTGGTCATTTGACTGAGGAAGAGAAGACCCGGGCTTGGTTTACTGATGGTTCTGTACGTTGTGCAGACACCACACCACCCAGAAGTGGACAGCTGCAGCGTTACAACCCCTCTCTGGGACAACCCTGAAAGGCGCCATTAAAGGGAAATCTTCACAATGGGCAGAACGTTCGCCAGTACGTATGGTTGTGTATGTTGCTGTGGCAGCTCAGATGATACCGAGTATGGGGTCCTCACAGAGGCTCCTGAATCCTTGCTGGGGCAGGTTGCTTAGGAAGGTAGACCCGTGGATAGACCCGTGGAAGCTGCAACTGTGACCACCAGGGGGCGATATTTCATCACATTCTGCTTGATCAAGGCCCCGTCTCTCAACGCTGAAGAAAGTTACTTTGGGATCTATCTTTTTAGGGACTCGAGTGTTTGCAATAATGTTCTGGGTGCAGAAAATGAATAGATATGTCAGTCTGGACTTGAAATCTACCTCTCAAAGGAAATCATTGTATCATCTCGCCTGTCTTCCCTTTCACTCCAGCAGCTCCGGGGAGTGGACACTACTGTAAAACCAAAGCCTTCGTGTGTTCATCTACCTTGTGTGGGGTCGTCCTGTGGTCCAGAGTTATTCAGGGTTACATTCTGAGAGCACTTGATGGTCTCAGGTAGAAGGATACAGAGTTCCATGGATGCGGGCCACACAAGTCTCAGGAGAGCAACCGATGTGTCCAAGCACATTTGTAGACGATGGCCGCGGGTCACGGTGTCGAAAGGTTGCCCACTGCTGCTGCCCGTGGTTAGAGTTGCTCCAGTCTTCCTTTCCCTCCTCTGCCTTCTACCGGGATGCAAACCTGGGCCCCATTGCCCATTCCGCATTCGTCTTTTCTGATGTGGCCGGACCCGCAGCCGCGTGCCACTGCCGCATTCATTATTGACCGTTCTGCTGGGATATTAAGCACTTGGGGCTTGGCTGGGGGACCATTAATCAACAACCTTGTCAGAGTGATGGATTCTGGTAGGATTATTGCTTAATTAGCTTGTTTAGGGCAAGAAAATCAACCAGGACATTAGTTCTCTGCAAGCCAGAAGGAAAGGGGAAAGTCAGTTGGGGTGGGAGGGACCTCGGAGCTCTCTTGGGTAGCATTCTGTGTCTCGAGCAGATTGGGGGGTGGGGCCTCTGACCAGAGCAAACCTTCTGCTGGAATTCACCAGACATTTGTGCCCCCTCTGGCTACCAGAGCCCGGAGAGGCACCCCATTCGGTGGCATGGAAGAGCAGTGGTTCCCGACGTCACTCAAGGACCACATCCATCCCTGGGGAGCTTTAAAAATTCAGACTCACGCAGGCCTGGGTTTGAGTTTTCTCGATCGGAATCTTTGAAGATTTTTTTTGCTTTGTTCCGAAGACAAGTTACTCCAGATGGGTTTTGTTGTTCACAACGCCGTGTGGGAGCCTTGGCCTTGAGGGTTTAAGAGTCTTAAATCTGGTGACTGATGAGCAGGTCCACATTTCTTCCTGCCAACATGCACTTCACGTGGGGTGGGGGTGGGCTTGACCTGAAGCATCCCTACCAGCTTCCCGGCATGCCAGCCTCCCTCCCCCACACTCTTTGGTTTCCTGTCGTCTCTCAGCATTGCTTATACTACTCCAGCCTTGTTCCTTGGCTTGCCTACCATTTTAATCTCAAATCCCCCTTCCAGATCTTTCCATTCCCCCTCCCTTTTCTCCATCTTCTTTTCCACTTGTGCAGGGGACTATCTCTTGGTGACAGGGACATTTTACACCTCTCTCTTTATTCTCTCCCAGGCTGGAAGCCTGAGAATGGCTTTGCCGAGAGGATTCCAGATACATCTGCAGGCCCACCATCGATAAGCCCGTGTGGTGCTTGGAAGGCAGAAGAGGAAGCCTCATTACCCAGGGAAGCTGAGTCCCCAAAAACAGCTGTCATTGCAGACTCAAGTGTTTTTGTTTGTTTGGTTTTGGGGGGTGGGGGTGGGGACTCCTTCAGCCTTGCTTCTTCCTCAAACAGCAATGAAGCCAAACGTGGTTCTCAGCATCTCCAGGTCCATGGAAGATAAAGGCAGTCGTCACAGAAGGCGACCACAGAGGCTTTGTCACCCCTGCGTGGTGAGACTCTGGCAGGGCTGTGAGCATCTGGAGTCCTTAGCGCATCACACTGCCCTTGCCTTGGGGGTCTTTCTTGACCTTTGCTGAGGGATGCAAGGAACTCTTAGAAAATACAGCAAGGGAGCATGCTAGCTGGTCTGTCCTGTGCTGAGAGACTGGGGGAAAGGATCTCCAAACTCTAGACAGGAAGAGTCTATGTGTCATGTCATGGCCACAATGGCCCCCCTGAGTCCTCTGGAGCTCAGCGTGGCTCTCTGTGAGTCAGCATTTCAATCAACTGACCAAATAACCTCTCCTCTTATGTCTTGGTACTTTAACAAGAAAATTACAGCCTGGCTCCCGAACAGAGCCTCAGGAGAGAGAAACTTGGTCTGAGTTGTTGTGGATACCAGTCTAGTCAATGCCAAAGAGGCTTGGTCAACCCCAGGGCTGCTCACTGTGGACCCTATGGCTGCAAAACGAAATGCTCTTTCTTGGTTCCTCAAACCCGAGCAGACTCAGAAGGGGCACAGGCTATCAGGAGGCCGAGGCAGCCAAGAGCACAGGCATGCTGGATTTCCACATAGCTATTCAGAAAAAGTCACCTTTGACCTTCTTCTGGGATGGCTGCTTCAGTCTGTTGGATTTTCCCCTTGCAGCAGAGCTTATGCTGACCCCTGGGTGCAATATTTTTGCATGCAAAAAGATCTTATGGAACTGGGCAATCCAGTCCATTAGCTATTTCATTCTAAATTCCATTCAGGGGACATGCAATGACCAAGAACACTCTTCAATGTGTGGATTAGTTGGCTAGGTTTATTGTTTGTGCATTGGATGTGGTCACTTTCAAATGGTGACCTTGTTCTTGGCATGAATGTGTGCGTGACGGAGCCATCCTGCCCATGCCATCTGTTTTCTAATGGGGTCTTCTCACAAAGTCACTCGAGAAAGTCCTTTCCACACATCCATTTGCTGTTCCTATTGTGGTTTAAACCCAAAATGTCTCCCTAAGGCTCATGCGTGAGCAGGGGGCGCTATTTTTGGAGGATGATGGGACCCTCAGATGGTGAGGAGGGAGCTGATAGGTATAAGTCTCCAGAAGTGGGTTTTGAAGTCTATATAGCCTGGCTCCTGGTTCTGGTCCATTTCTACTTCCTAGTCCACTATGGCGGGAGGGACCTGTGCCACATGCTCTAATCACTATGAACATTGCTATCCCTTTCCCACCATAGTAGACTAAAATCTCATGATACAATACGTCAAGATAAACCTTTCTTCCCGGAAGTTGTTATATCAGGTACTCTGTTACGTAGATGAGGAAAACAACCAATACAATCCCCCACTGAGAGATGCTTCCAGAGTTGAGTTCTTTCACTGCATATACTGCAGAGTAGGGCCTCCCCTGGTTATTTTCTGAAATGACCATGATTCAAAATGACCCTTTTGAGATACCCAAGAACCAAACGATGAACGAGGAGGAGGAAGGCGGCTCCTTTGCTGGCTAGACTGTCCTTTTCCTCAGCTGAACTTTTAAAACCAGACCGAAGAGTCTTCTTTCACACCCAGAATCCTTTGTGGACATTTTATTTTATTTTGCCATTCAGCCGTAAAACAACTATGATGCAGATACAAAAGAATGTCATTACTGGTAAATGACACTGAATAGACCAGTCCTGGGTCACCAACGCCACCTGGGGGGTGAATACACTGGGTCAGTCTGTTTTTTCCAAGAGATGGATTCCGAGAGTTGGTAGTGGAGGCTCCTTCCCTTCTTCCCCACAGGGGAGACTTCCTGCTTTGTTTTCCTGGAAGTGCCTACCGATGTCAGAAAGTGCTCTGATGACCTAACGTCCTTGGGTTTACCGGAGCCTGACTCAGCTGGCAACTCAGCCCGAGATCTTGAAAGGCATCTTTGACTCCACTTCCAAGATCAGGTTTAGCTGCAGACCTGCCACAGGAGGTCGGCACAATGCCATGGAGGAGGAAGCCAGTTCCTTGAGTGACCACCAGGAGTTTGTCCTAGAGAAAGACATAGATGCTCATAGGCAAAAGGTCCAAGGGGGAAGAAAGAAACGGTTCCTTTCTTCAAGTAACCACGGAGGCCCAGCCCCATTCTCACGGTGTGGACCAGCATAGCAAGCCAGGGCATTTCCTACTGTGAGAGTGACTGGCTCCCTCACCGGGTCCCCTTCCCCCCCCAACAGTAGACAGGGATGCTCTTTTCCTTAAAATCCTCAGAAGCTGCTTTCCATCTGTTCTACTCTGCCTGCAGCTAGACTCCACGCCACGGCTCCCATGGCTCCGTGCGCCTGTGGCGCTATGACAGAATCTTGGAGTCAGCCCGGATCTGTCCTCCCTGGAGCAGACCGGAAAGGCAGCTCTACCCTCTGTGTGCTCCAGTCTGCTGGCTGCGGACTTCTGCAGAAGAATGGCTTCTCTCAAGTGTATGTGGCTCAGATTGACAACCCTGCATAGATATTTCCCCTGCAACTGTAATGTGTCCCCGTCCATGGCAGTTAGGAGTCCCCGTTTTCCTTTCCAGCTGGTCTCGTCTTTCAAGACCTAAGCGTTTGACTTTCAGGCTTGTCCCGACTTCTTAGATTTATTTTCTAGCAAGAATTTAATTTAACACATATAATTTGAAAACTCAATCATTACTACAAGCCACGAAGGAAAAAGGGCAGAGGGTTGTGTCTCTTCCTGTCCTCGGTTCTCCTCAGACTTGCTTTGGAAGCCTCACTCCACTTTTCTAAATACTCAGCTCAGACAGTGACTCCCTCACTTGTCAATTTTAAATGCCCATCGATTTCTGTGATGGAAGATGGAGCTGGGTGTTCCTCATCCACTTTTATATCTCTATCTTCTCTTCATTCTTCTAATATATTTATATTCCACTTTTTGTTAAATCAATATTTAATTTCTATTTTATTACAATTATATATGTACCGTTCACCGCTGAGTGAAGAAATACTCTTGGATCACATTTCCGTTCTTCTGTAACTTTTTGTTCTTCCAGGAGTTACTAATTGCCTCATTTTTTTTTTTGTCTGTATAGTCTGTCATTATCTTAATAATTCTTCCTAAGTCTCCAGCAGAATTTCAAAGCTTTTTGCACGATAAAGCCATCCAAGGAACTATTCTGGTTTTCTCTCCCCTCAGTTCACCCTTCTGCTCCTCTGGGGACGGCTTGCCCTCTGTGCTGTGTCTGACTCCACTAACTGTACTTTTCTACTGATGGAGCTCACGAATCTGGATTCCTACCCCCACCCTCTGATTATGCTCTTTGAGGGTGCATGTTCATCTCTTAGCTCAGTACATTTCTCTTCCAAAGCCAGCTCGGAAAGCTGGATGATGATCTTCTGGGGTAACTGGGAACCACTGTATTTATGTTTTCTTAGTGGGATTCGGAGTTCTCAGGTTACCAGTGGCAAATCCAGACTCCCAACTCTTCCTATGACCTATATGGGAGAGTTTGCTCCAAGCTTCTGATGGTCTCATCTGTTGTGTTACCAGTCTTCGACCCAAAGTCTAGCCAGCTACCTCAGAGGTTAGGAGAGATGGATTTATTGGGGTAGAAGCCACTCTGAGGAATAGTTGATAGCAATCAGCAAGATCAAGGTCATTGCTGCCTATTTTTCACTGTCACAGAGATTAAAGATTGCTGTGCAGTGGAAAATGGTACAAACACTAACTTTGTTAGAAGGTATTCTCCTGCCGTATTGTCAGTACACCAACATGGATGCAGATGGCATTAGCTAGATGAGCTCTCAGCAAGATGTGATTTACAATGTCCTGACCCTCTAAACTCTTGAAATCAGTTGAGATCAACATGGCCTTGCCTGTCTCAATGCACTGCTAGCATTTCTGAACTTGATGATTTAACCTAAACACCACCCGTAATGTGGCGGTGGAGACCCATGCCTTCTTCAAAACAAACAGGTTGGAGGGGAGAGGAGAAGAGCCGTGCAGCCTGGCTTGTGCTTACTCACAACCTAAGCTAAGTCAGAAATGAGCAGGGGGGCTGAAGATGAGGCAGAAATAGAGGAAAACATGATTCTAACAAAGGTAGTACAAGCCAACCCGCTCAGCAAGTCTAGGGTACATGAAAGGCTTCTTGTATAGATTATAGAAAGTGATCCGGAAACAGAATGGCCTGGCAACAAGGTTCCATTACTTTCTTCTCTGGGGAAGAAGCTCCTGTCCTAAACATGACAAATCCTTTGCTTATTCCAGCAACAATATGGCTGAATAAACAAGACCTGAACAGTGACAATACCAACAGACATACTAGCATGGAAGAGGGGGTGGATTTTACAGGGTCTCATACCTACACAGAAAAACTACAGGCAACTAATGACTTCTGGGGAAGGGAGAGTTATTCCCTCCCAGTGATGAGCCCCTAACTGTTTATCCCGGAAGTCACACACTCACAAGCAACACTCAACAGATGTGGCAGGTTGTGGTTATCTATTGGTACATTTATATATGCATAGATATATGTAATTATAATAAAAGAAGAAGCCATCAATTTGAGAAGGAACGAAGAGGGGGACATGGGAGGGGTTTGAGGGAGGAAAGTGAAGTGGGGGAGTGACGTAATTATATTTGAATTAAAATAAAACTTAAAAATGAAAGCATGATTTCTTTTGCAACGTGGGAAGTGGTGACTGAATGATTTCCTTTCCCACACTTTACTTTGTGCTCAGGTAGCAACAAATGAGAAACATGCAGGGGATGTAGTCACCAAGCAAATAACTAAGCGTGTATTAGCCAACTACAAACAGATGGAAGTTCCTTAACCTGATGGAGGGTATCTATTAAGAACTCAAAGGTAAATGGGACATGCATATCACACTCCCTTCTCCCAAGGCTCAGGGGTCATCTCGGAAGAGAGGGCAGAGAGAATGCAGAAGCTGGAGGGGTGGAGGACTGCTATAAAACATTGTTTTCTAGACACAACAGGGGAGTTGTTCCTATGAGCTCACAGAAGTGGTGGCGGTATGCTCCAGACCAGCAGCGGTATGCTCCAGACCAGCACAAGGTCAAGGTAGACAAAATCCCAGCATGGAATGGGAGGTGGTCGCAAAGTCTCACCCCTAGCTAAGGCACTATTGGCAGCTGGTGAGAGAGGGACTCTCTCAGATTGCTGAGCGAGGAAGAGTCTGTCTTCTTCAGAGATATGGCCCCGGAGAGGCTACTCGGGTTCCGAAGATGGTCCTACACCCAGGTAATATAGTAGCACTAAGTAGACTCAGTGGGTTTTAAAAAAAGAACACATTAACTTAGAAGGGGAAAGTGGGTTAGGGAGGCATAGGAGGAATTATAGGGGAGGCAATGGAGGGGTAGATCTGATCAAAACACGTTGTATGCATGTATGAAATTCTCAAATAATAAAAAAGGGAAAAATCCATCATCCACACAAACATGCATGGTCCTGGACATACTCATCTCTGAATGAAATTTAGATGCAATGTTTTCTAAATACTAAATAGACTGTCACCTAGACGTGAACACATACAATCCAACCACTGTATACACAGCTGGAAAAGCACCATAGGAAACTAGGAAAATGGCAGACCTAGCTTTTAAATGCCCCCTTACTATTAACTAGCCTTAAAACCCTGAGCGACCTTCTCAATTGTAAAATGGGGACAATATCATACAGTATTTGTTGTAACATTAAAAATACTACATTCCCACTCCGCCCCCCCCAAAAAAAAAACCCTTCAAATTTAGCATCATATGGAATAGTCAAAGACTAGGCTTCTATGCCAAGATCAGGAATATAAGGATGTCTGGGGTTTTGTTCATTCATTTGTTTTTAATTTCTGTTCATAATTGTGGTAGAAGTCCTATTCAGGATAATAAATCAAGGGAAAAACAAAAAAAAATACAAACCAAAACAAAAACCCAAAGTGATAAATGGATACAATTTGGAAAGTAAAAAAATGAAACTACTTTCAGATATGATTTTATATCTTTAAAATCCAAAGGGATCCCTTTAAAACCAGTGCTAATGAATGAGTTTAGATAGATTGCAATATGTAAGATCAGTATATAAAACTCAATGTATTGCTAAAAACTAGCAATGGATAGATGAGAAGGGGGGCAAGAAAACAATGTCATTCACAGTAGCATCAAAAGGAATATAAAACCCAGGAGACAGTTTACCACAGGCTTGCAGACCTTCCATACTGAAAACAGGAAGACATCTCTAAAAGAAACTAAAGATGCAAAAATTAAGGTGTGTTCTTGCCTCAGTTCAAAACCTTATGTTGTGAATATGACATTTCCCAATTAATTTAATACTTAATGTGATCCCTATTACCCCCGTGCTCCCAGGATAGGACTGAGAATATAGACGAAATCCTTACAGTATGATAAGTTGATATTCAAAGAGAACAAGAGGGAAGAGGCACTAGTCTTTTTAGCAATGGGTCCAGAGAAAACCAGATGTCCATACGTGAAAGAATAAAGCTACACCTCCTTCTATACACAGGCAAAAAAAAAATTACCTCAAGATAGTTCAAAAGCCTAAATGACCAAATATAAATTGTAAAAAATAGTTATAAGGGAATCAGGAGCAAACATTTGTGACTGAAGGATAGACAAGTGACCCTTGAAATCTACCATCCAAAATATAACTAACCAAAGGACAACAGACATGGTAGATCTCATCAAACCTAGACACTCATGACCTTCAAATGATACTGCCCAACACTGAAGAGACAAAAACAAAACAAAACCCCCACAAAAATACAAAGTGGGGGAGGATCTGGGAGGAATTGGGAGAGGGAAAATATGAGAAAATATATTACATGAAAACAGTTTTAATTAAAAACTAAATAAAAATTAAAATTAAAAAATTGAAAAGACAACCTTGAAGAGGAGAAAAATTGACAAAAACATATATGATGTATAAGGGACTAGTAACTAAAATATGAAAATAACGCTTACCACTCACTAGCAAGAAGATGTTAAAATATAACTCAATTTCAAAATGCAAAAAGGATTTGAATAGAATTCTCCAAAGAAAACATACATCAGCCTATAATTAATAGGAAAGAGACTCAGCATCATTTGATATCAAGAAAGTGCCAATCAAACCCACAGTGAGGTACCACTTCAAACCCACAGAGACAGACAACACCAAATGCTGCCTAAACTCCCAGTCACTGCAAGTGACTGCAAGATAGAAAAGGCAAGTCACTCCTCAGATTGTTATACAGAGCTATCATGTGATCCTTAAGGCCCATCCCTAGCTATATAGCCAAGTGAAGTGAAAACATATGTCCACCTCAAAGCTCACCTACAAACATTTACAATATGATAGTTAGTGATAGTCATCACAAAGTAGAAATAACTTCAACATCTACCAGCTGTGGAATGATGAATCAACGATGGTATAGCATCAATGAAATACTACTTAGAACTAAAATGGAACAAAGACTCAAGGCATGCTTCAATGGAGTGAACCTGAAAACATTACGCTAAGTGAAAGACACAGTTACTAAGGGCCGCTCATTTCATGATTCCACTTACACGAATTGCCCAGAATAGGCAAATCTACAGAATCATAATGTGGATTAGTGCTTTCCTAAGAATAAAGGTTGGATGGAACTGGGGAGTGACTTCTGGGGGAGTATTACATTTCTTTATATAGAGATGAAAAATGGTCTAAAATTATATTATTGCAATGGTCATGCAGGCCTGCAATTACACTAAAGCCGTAAATACAACATGCTTTGTTTTGCTTTTTTTGTTGTGACAGTGTCTCATCATGTAGCTCTGGAAGGTCTGGAACTCACTATGTAGCCTAAGCTGGATAGGAAGTGGTTCTCCCACCTCTGCCTCCTGAACTATCGGTTTCTAGGTGTGTAACGCCATGCCCAGCTTGAACTCCATATTTTAAGTGGGTAAACTTTATACTATGGATTGCATTTCAACAAACCTCACTAAAAATAAAGGGAGAAATTGGCAACAAGAAAACTACGTGTTGAGCTTTATAACTGGGGAAATGGTATGTGAGAAATTTTATGGGAGTTGCCAGTTGGGCTATAGCAAGAAAGAGCAGGAGTTGGGCTACTAATAGCCAGGGCAGAGCAGACAGTAAGATCTGAGATCCAAGGCTGGGAATAACAGAGAATAGAAGGCAATGGTATTATCCATGTTTGGTGGACACTGACAAAGGAACATGGTGTGGTCAGATAGATGAGCTGGGGCCGATGGTCCATAAATCCAGGGACTGATGTTAAGGACCCTAGAATTACCTTATATATCAAGGGGGAGACATATTGAAGGGTTTTTAACTTGGGGAATGTAGTAAATGGATTTGAATTTTTAAGAGCAAAACTCTGGCTTCAGGAAATTGATTTGAAAGATATTAATGGACATAGAAAAATAAGATCAAAAGCTAATGCAAAACTCAGGGAAACAGATTTCTAAGAAATCCAAATTGAATCGCTCCTCGGCCTTTTGGCTAAGATCAAGTGTAGAAATCCAAATTGAAGTAGCTTGAGGAGAGCGGAGGAAGTGAGGATGTGGAGACAATTAGTTCCTTTATGAAGTTTGGCTGCAATGGGAGGAGAGGGGAGGTAGTAGCTGGAAGGGATTATGAGGTAGGAGAAATTCAAAAGATACATGTGCTTGAATGACCCTTAGAAAACCTGAGAGAGAGTGTGTGTGTGTGGGGGGGAATAGTTTAGTATTCAGAAGACAGTGGAGAACACTCATTCAATCAGGCTCCTGCAAAGTGATGGTAATGAGTTATAGAACACCCCCAAAGGGAGTTGCTGTGTGATAGAACATGGGAGAAGGAGGGACTGTTACCAAAGCAGGTGCATTTGTACCAAAGCAGGAAGAGCTTCTTCATCTTCCTGCATCCAATTCCTCAGTGCAACTCATGAGCCATGTGTGAAAGGATATGTACAATATTGTGATGTCAGAGAGTCAGAGAGTGGCTATGAACAAGGAAGAGGGAACACTCTCAGTGTAATGACAGGCATTAATGCAAGAGACAAATACATATGCATCTCACATTATACTCTCTCCTTGTACAATCTTCAGAACAGGAAAGTGGAAAAATCAGTGAAAGAGAATTGGGACTCTCCAAAAGAGACAAGATAGAGAGAATTTGGTGACTTTAAAAGTTCAAGGATGTGGATCCTGTGTGCCAAATTACCTTCAAGATACAATTAAAAAGATATTCTTTATATTAAATCTATGCAGATTGTGATAGGCACAATAAGATTGGAAATGATCTATTTTTTTAAAGGAGTGAAAGGGGAATTCAATGCAGTTGAGTAAAATTGATTCTTGTCAATTTGTAATCACTAGTAACCATCAGATGTTCATCAGGAAGTATTGATGCTCAAATATTATACCTTTATGCAGAGAACCTTTCTCCCAGTTTCAAGGCACACACATGATTCATAGATTAGACAAAGACTGTTTCCAGAAGTAACAAAATCTCAGAGGATATGGGGGTGAACTTTGATTATCAACTTGATTGGAGTAAGAAACATCTATGGGATTAGTGGGGTGCACTTTGGGGTGTGTCTGTAAGGGTATTTCCAGAGAGGACTGACTGAGTGGGTAGGACATGTACTGAATGTGCTGGGGAGGTACCATCCTACGAACTAGGTCCCATACTGAACAAAAAAGGGAAAAAAGAGGAAAGCTAGTGGAGTATGAGAGTTCATCCTTCCCTGCTTCCTGACTGTGGATGCAAAGCACCAGTCACCCCAAGTTCCCACTGCCATACTTTTCCTACCATGAACCCTTTCTTCTGTTAAGTGCTGCTGTCCAGCATTTTGTCACAGCCACAGGTAACTAGTTCATAGTATCATTTCATGGAGAACCACCAGTAATAATTAAAGAGGAGAGACTTTGGGTCAGGCAACAGAGTGTCTTCAAGGACATCAAGGTCTGGTATATCTAGTCTTTTTTTTCTACAGTGGTCTAGAGAGTAGAGTTTCTATGGATGCATGATAGAAATTTCCAGGGACCTAGATGCTTGTCTCTAAACAAGGAACCCATAGACTTGAAGATTCCCAGAAAGTGGGAACATGAAGTCTCAAGGTCTCCAGAATTCTAGAACACTCACTCAGCCAGAATTTCTGCTATAGCAGGATTGGGCAATGTGATGGTAGATCGTCTTTACCTCTAGTTTGTTCCACAAAAATCCAAGAGGAAATGGCAATGTGCTTGCTGCTGAGCACAGACTAGAAGTATAAATGTGGATGACTACACTATCCACTGCTGTCCAAAGCCAGTGAGGCAATGGTAGAGTTGGGGTGGCCAGCTCTCCGTCCCCCCAAGGTCAACTGTTCGTGTTGCTCTGCAGTATTCTATTTTCACCATTTCTAGTTCCTGTCTGGAATGAGTCATCACCCTTTCTCTTCGGAACATTAATTAAATGTTGTAAATCTCTCATTCACGACTTTCAGGCTGTTCTCTTTATGAATGGGTTTAGATGAAATCTGAGCATTTGGCCTTGAAACTCAGGAGCCATGAGCAGCGGGGCCTTGGCTCATAAAATAAGCTTTCTGGTGTCTCTGAGAGGCTGTGTCCAGGGAGTCTTCTGCGTCATTCATAGAGAAAGAGGGGCAATGTTCAGAGGAGGAAGAAAGGACTTTAATGCTGCCATGTCTTACCTGGTCCAGAGGGCTCTGCCAGATTCCTCACCTCAGCCATACATGACCAGGTTCATCCACTGAGAAATAAGCATCATCGTTAGAGTGAATATTTCTCTCCCCTCCCTCCTCTCTGGTGTGAGTCTTCATATATGCAGATTCACGTGCATGTAAACTATGTGAGTTTTCTTACTTTTTAAAATGAGTCTCTCATTGAACCTGCAGTTTACCAATTGGGCTTGACTAGTTGGCTAGCAAGCTTCTCGGATCCTCCTGTCTCCACTTCTGTAGGGCTCTGGAATGGTAGGCATGTACTCTCTGCCTGGCTTCTTATGTGGGTGCTAAGCTTCTAAACTCAGGTCCTCATGCTTGTGTGGTAAGTACTTACTGAGACCCCGCCCTGTGTAACCAATTCTTAAAGCTGGTTCCTTTAATGTGGAGCTGGGCAAATATATACCCCCTCCATAGGAAAATCTCAGTTCAGTATCAATGCATTTTCCCAGCTAACTCCACCCTCAGTGTTCTGTTTTAACACATCTTCCCACGTACTGTCTAGGTAGCTCCTCTACAATCCTCCACTCTACCAACTGAGCAATTGAAGGGCATATATTATTTTCTAAATAGCCCAGCAGAGAGAGGTGTATGGGGGTTGACCAGCTGGCTGGCTAGATGGCTCTAAAATTCAGGCTTAATGTACAGTGAGCTTGGTGGATTGTTCTTTACTTCTCCCTTGGATTTATGATTCCTACATAATCCCCGGCTTTATTAAGCTATTGGAAAAAAATAAAATCTCTCTGCCAAGATCCTAAAGCAGCCTGGCAGCCTGCAATATATAAAGGCAGTAATTGGAGGCAGCTCCCCCCACCCCACCCCCAGCCTGGCTGGCCTTTGACAGACTATTCAATACTCTGGGGAGAAAAATGCCTCTTGGAACTGGATCAGGAGAATGTAGCCTGGGACTGTGCCTGGTTCTAGGAGGGGAAGGTGCCTCACCTCCATTTCTGTCAAGTAGACTCCTCTGCCGTCCTTGGAGAGGTTGCGGAATGCCTCTAGGATAGAGGAAAAAAGGTTTTGACTGGCTGAGAGGGGATCATAAGTCTCTACTGTCCCCAGAATGTGTTTTTACTCTGTTCTCCTTTTTGGTCCAGCTCTATGCTGTGGGATAGCTTATGGTTCTCCCCTTAGGACAGTTGTGATTATTCTCACCTCTCCTCTTCCAGATCCCATGTACCTTGTTTCCTTCTACTTTGTCTTGTGGGGATGCATGGGCTGATATTTTGTTTGTTTGTTTGTTTGTTGTTTGTTTTTCCAGACAGGGTTTCTCTGTGTAGCTTTGTGCCTTTCCTGGAACTCTCTCTGTAGAACAGGCTGGCCTCAAACTCACAGAGATCCATCTGCCTCTGCCTCCCGAGTGCTGGGATTAAAGGCGTGTGCCACCACCACCCAGCTTGTTTGTTTGTTTTTGAAACAGGGTTTCTCTGTGTCCTATAACTCACTTTGTAGACCAGGCTGGCCTTGAACTCAGGAGATCGACCTGCCTCTGCCTCCCAGAGTATTGGGATCAAAAGTGTGTACATTCACAACCAGCGGGCTGATTGGTTTTTTTTTTTCTTTTTTCTTTTAAGACAAGGTTTCTTTGTGTAGCCCTGGTGGTCCTGGAACTCTCTCTGTAGAACAGGCTGGCCTCAAACTCACAGAGATCCATCTGCCTCTGCCTCCCAAGTACTGGGATTAAAGGCATGAGTCATCATGCCCAATGGGCTGATTTTTTTTTTAATGGGCACAGTTAGGGATCTCCCAATCTATTTCAGGCTTTGCTTTCACCTTTTCAAGGTTCTACTCATTCAGTCTTCATTTGGAGCCTTGGACTTTTCAGAAGTACCCCATGGCTGTGGAGGTATCAGGATTTAGGGGTGTTTCTATAACCGACTCTACCATTCCCTCCTTCCCAGCAGCTGTTTTGAGCTGCATTGTAGCCTGGGATTTCACACAAGGTTCCACTTAAAACAAAAACTATTCTGCTAAAAAGTGTGGAACCCTCTGGCTTCCATCTTTGGAGTTCTATAGCTTGAAGAAAGACCTTCTGCTCCCATGTAGTCACTGGGGTGAAATCCTTTTGCTAGAGACTGAAATCCTTCACTGCCTAACTAAAGAGTAGATTTAGTTCTACACACAGCCTGGAGAGGGGACAGGGTGACTTCAATGGACCTTGTTCCTGAGACAGAGCCTGACTAGGGTGAGGAGGCAAAAAGAGAGTTGGGATGTAGGGACAGAAAAGAGTGTGGAAGGGAAGATGAGGACATGGACAACGGCACTGTTATTGCTTATCAGAGGCTGGTACCCTCTGGAATTTCCAGGTCCTCATGCCTGAGAATTAAAAACAACAACAAGAACAAAATGGACAGACATGTGGAGAAGAGCAAAGGCAGAGCCACTTTACTAAGAAGGAATATAATATGCCTGCGATGGTCAGTGTTCATTGACAGACTTGACAGAATCTGGAATCGGCAGGAGAAATGGGCCCCTGGGCATGCCTGCGGAGGATGATCTTGATTGTATTAATTGAGGTAGGAAGACCACCGCGGGTGGCACCATCCCCTGGCTGGGATCCTGGACTGTGTGTGTGTAAGGAAAGGGAGCTGCAGGGCAGCATGCATTCATTCACGGCTTTCTTCCTGGCTGTGAATGTAATATAAGCAGTGGCTTCAAATTCTGGCCACCTTGTCTCCCCTGACTGTAACCTGCAACTAGGAAGCAGAAAACAGGCAAACAAATGAAACAACCTCTTTTTCCTTAAGTTGCTTTGGTTGGAGTATTTTATCCCAGCAACAGTGAAAGAGAGTAAGACAACTTCCAAGAGAGGAAATAGGCCAGAACTTGGAGGAAGGTTGGAAGCTCAGTGGCATGGCGTGAGGAGGGTTGTAACCTTTTCTGTGCCATCTGCATAGCACCAGTGACCACACAACTTTGCATACTGTGGGGTTTTTTGTTCCTTTTTTCCTTTTGAGAAAGCACTACCTATCCCGTGTTGGCCTTGGCTGGAGGGTTCCAGTCTTCCTCTGTGCCAGCTGGTTTCTTTCACATGTTAATCTCACACCAGCAGTGTAAGGGTTTAGCAGACCTTATTTTCTGCCCTATTCCTTTCCACAATACTACTTACAGTCTCACTGGTTGGACTCTCTTAGATCCCGGCAGTCTCAGGCAGGACGCCAGCCTGCCGCCTACTCCTGAGTCTTCACCCAGGTCCTGGGGCACCGGCGTTTTCCCGGCCATCTATTGAGTTCACTGGTCACTGTGAAGGTCTACAGAATGCCCCTAGGGTTACTTACTTGCCATGGTTTCCAGTCGGATTAGGAAGCAGACAAGGCTGGGGAAGCTGACCAGGCCAGATTTATCACTGTAGCGGAGTGTCATGAGACCCAGCAGCTCATTGCTGATGAAGATTCCTGAAAGGAAGTCTGCGATGGGAAGATTAAGTGGGTGAGCTGAGAGGAGACTGGAGATGGGGTGGTCCTCTGCCTCATGAGGCTCCATGAACCTGTTAAGACAGTCCAGCAGCCTTCTACCCCCACATCCCCTACTCAGTCCCGTGTGCCAGCCAGCCCCACCTCACTCGGGGCCTTGCCTTTTTCCCTTGATCCCTGGCTATTGGACCTTAGTGTCACAAGCCTGCAGCTTGGCCAGAGACCAACTCAAGAGACTGGCTATTTCTGTGGAGACACACCTTGTCTTCCAATAATTAGATAATCCCCATGCAGCGTGGAGTTGCCAGGACACCTAAGGGCTGAAGTCCAGCCCTGCCTCTGCCAGGTTTCTCTTTGCTGGCGATCCTATTAAACGGTCTTCCAGCTAGATGTCATGACTCTTTGTAAGCCCCATGTGTGTATGGGTGCTGCTAATGGAGGCAGGTGTGGACTCCCTGCCAGAGGGAGATTTGGTTCTATGGTGCTCATCCAAGGAAAGGCCGGGGCACAGGAGGGAGGCCACAACTCAGCAGGTCACCTCGGCTGGGCAGAAGGTAAGCCTCTTGCCCTCTTTGACCTTGTCACTTTGCATCTCTAGTGATAAGCTTCAGGGAGACACCAACCCCGCAGTTGACAAGTCGTTGCTCTCGTGAGCAGGCAGACCCTTGAAAGCTGAGCCGTTCATGCAGCGATGAGTTTGGTGGCCCATGGACCCAACGTAGTTAGAGACACCTTTGGTTCCTGCAGTACAGCTGATAAGAGAGGCACCGAACGCCTTCCCAAGGGGCTTGAGTTTCCCCGATAGCTACCTGCCCAGCCTCTGAGAGCTTCTGAATTGAACCGGAAGTGGCCTCTATTTCACCCCCTCGTTTTAGTCTGTGGTCATTAGGGCCGCTCTGATGACTCCAACTTTAAATGGCTCTCCAGGGGTTCTCCAACTGTAACCCCGTGTGGCCCCATGTCAGCCACAGATATGACGCCTTAGAACTTGCTAGAAATGGAGGGAAGGCTCGGCCTTTCTTGTTCTAGCAAGCCTAGCAGGGCGCTGTGTTGGCAGCGCAGCTCTGAGCATCTCAGCCTTGTGCTCTGCTGCAGACCTGTGATGCCGAGGTGCAGCCGCTGAGGGTCGGAATGAAGGGGAGGGGCTAGGCTCAAATGGAGAACAGTGTCTTGTATTTCTACCACTTTTCACGCCAGGAGCATGGGAAGAAGAATCACAGAGGCATTCTTTCTGGAGTTAACCTGGGGGAACATGAGTCTACGGCTTATTAAGGAAGGTGGCCATTTCCTTACATAACCTTTATGTGATGTGTCTTCCCCACAGGTACAGTGGAAGCAATGACTCCTGCCCTTCCCCGCTCACAGCTCAGCGGAGACAATGAAACGAGACGGTGCGAACAGTTCTTGGTGAACTATGAAGCGCTTATGTACCCTGAAGTATTGTTAGCATTACCCCAGGACGGAAAGCGTGGGCCTACTGGAAGCCAGCACACGCCATTTGGTTTAATTTAGCTTTGAACCTTATGTGAAGAGAGAGAAGAAAGATTTCCCCAGCCTGTGGTGGGTTATTTAACCCTGACAGCCCAGACAGTGAGTTGGAAGCTTCTGGAAGATGAGCCCCATTCCTTGTAGGTTATCAATCATGGGGGTCCTCCCTGACTCAGTCAGAGCTGTGTTGGAGAGAAAAGGTGGCTGAGGAAATTGACGGGGACAGGACTGCTTAGGATGCAGTTGGGGAGCTCATATCTGAGTCTGGAGTGCTGCAAACGGATCAGGTCAACATAGATGGGGAGGACACATAAGCCAGAGCTCTCTTTTCTCCCAGCTGCCCAGCCTCTCCATGCCAGCCTTGCTTATGGCATGCTGGGAATATGGGCTTCCCTCACACCCCATAGCCTCCAGTCATCCAGGCTCTTGAGCCCCATGTTACCTGTACTCTCTATGACCTTCCACAGATCTGAGCTCAGGAGAACGCCAGGGCTCCTCTGGATGCTCTGGAAAACACGCTGATGCAGGGGGGAAAGAAGCAAGAAGCCAGTGAGGACTCAGACGACGTAGACAGGAGAGGTTCTGAAACTCTATTCTTCATCCCCAGAGGAGGCCTTACTAAAGTGTGCAAGGAGCCAGCGTACGGAGAGGTAGAGGAGGGGATGGGGCAAATGGGGACAGCCACACCCTTTAATTCCATCAGTCTGGTCACAGCTGGGCCTGAAACTCCCCTCCTGCAAGCAGCTCTCCTTTCCTCTTCTCACTCCAGACACATGGGACATGTGGGCTATCTCTGGGAAGGCACAGGGTTTCTCTCTAGTCCAGTGGTTCTCAACCTTCCTAACGCTGCGACCCTTTAACACAGTTCTTCTTGCGGTGGTGATCCCCAACCATAAAATTATTTTCATTGCTATTTCCTAACTGTAATTTTGCAGTTATGGATCGTAATGTAAATGCTTTTGGAGACGGAGGGTTGCCAAAGGGATCGTGACCCACAGGTTGAGGAACCTTTGCTCTCAAGCGTTTCTGGCCAGCTGTGGTTAAGAGCACAGATGTAACAGATGATCTGCCCGGGCTGAAGTTCCAGCTCAACTATTGATGGGCTGTGTAATGAAATCCTCATCAAGTTACCTCATCTTTCTAGGCCTTGGTTTTCTCTTATCCAGTACAGGGCTAGTTATAGTGCCTGCCTGCCTCCTAGGTTTGTTACAAGAAACCGAGGAGCAAACGTCTCTGAAGTACAAATCCATAAAGTGCTTGTCATTCACTAACACCTAAGTGTGCGTGCTCATGTCTGAATCCTCTCCCTTGTCATTAGTGAGTGCTGTATAGAAAGCACCAACAGCGGTTTAGAGCTGTGTCCTGGCCCAAGCATGGCTGCAGAAAGCAGATCGCAGCTGCCACTGTTGGACCAACCACTCTTGCATTGACTGGAGACTTTTCTTTTCTCCCTGGTGCTCACTGTAATCCTGGTCCATGGTGCACTTCCTAGATGAGGAAATTGACCCTCAAGCAGGTGAAGTCCTGGTCTTGAATTAAATGGGCAGTTGCCTGGGACTGAGCACAGAGTGCTTGACTGTGGTCAGTACCCCAATGGCTCATGAGAGCTTTTCCATGTCCAAGTAGCCAATACCAGGTATGAAAGGCAAGGGCAACTGGGGCAGGGGCCATGATTATAGGATGACAGCTTGAGAAGCTCCCCTTGCCCTTATTTGGTTACTGGTAAGTTCAAAGACAGACTTCATGTGATTTCCATTACATTACCTCATTCATTTAGTAGCTGATTCGCTAGGTCATCTATTGAGCTATTCTGAACACTGCTGTGTCACATACACCATGGAAGTCTCTGGGGGAAAGATGAACACAAGGAAGACCCTGCCCTTGAGGACCCAGCAATATAAGGTAGGAGGAGCCTGTTGTTATGGAATATTAGTTGAAGATGTGTTATGTATTTGTTGAAGAGTTGTTACATTTGTTTATGCTATGGAGCATTTGTTCAATGATGCAGAGGTGTGTTGCATTCTTTTGTGTTGCATTTGTTTAACTCTGTGAAGCCGTGTTACTGTGCCTGTCTAAAACACCTGATTGGTCTAATAAAGAGCTGAATGGCCAATAGCAAGGCAGGAAAAAGGATAGGTGGGGCTGGCAGGCAGAGGGAATAGATAGAAGAGAGAAGAGAGAAGAGCAAGAATAAGGAGGAGAGGAGGATGCTGGGGGGGGGGCAGCCACCCAGCTACCCAGCCACCTAGCTCAACACAGAATAAGAAGGAAAGAAAAGATAGAAATAGAGAAAGGTAAAATCCCAGAGGCAAAAAGTAGATGGGATAATTGTTTAAAAAGCTGGCTAGAAACAAGCCAAGCTAAGGCCAGGTACTTATAAGTAATAATGTGTCTCTATGTATTTATTTGGAAGCTAGGTGGCAGGTCCCTAAAGAGCAAAAGAGAAAAGAATAAAAAGCAAACAACTACAGCTTGTCAAGCATTGCAGTGTCTGGTGAGAAGTCCAGTGGCCCCCTGTCAGAGATCAGATGATGCATCTTGGCATAGTGACACAGGGGTATTTGATTTAGTCTTTCAAAATGTTCAGAGATAGTGACATGATTAGACGTATTGGTGCCCTCATTTTTTTAAAAAGCAGCTTGTATGAATGTATATGTTCATATGACTGATGTATTGCCTTTTTTATTTATGCACTCATTTGTTTATTTGATGTAGGGCTTCTCTATGTGGCCAAAGCTGGCTTCAAAGTCATAATCTTCCTACCACAGCTTCCTGAGTGCTGGGATTACAGATGTGCCCATAATGCCTGGCCAGATTATACTTTTATTTAGTGTGTATAAATGTGCCTATTTTGGACATACTCTGGAACATATTAACTGGGTCTTAATACTTTCCTTTTGGCAAGATCATGTTTTCTTATTTGAGTTTTTTTTTCTCTCTTCTATGTTCTCTATTGTCAATAGGCACCAGTTTTAAAATAAAGTTCTTTTTAACTACAAAATTTTAAGGTAGACAATGTGGCTTGACCTACAGGTATCAGCTAGGTGAGGAGTCAGAAAAGACAGTAATCAGGTCATAGAGGAAGGGCGGGCCAGAGGAACAAAGGCATGGGGCTAATAGGGTATCTTAGAGTTGGGTTTCAGAGCAAGTAGGATGTGGTGATATTTTATTTGTACTGAAATGTGATTTTATTTATATGTTAATAAATAAAGTTGCCTGGGGGTCAGAGCTAATAGCAAGCCATAGCAGAAGCTGGGCAGTGGTGGTGCACGCCTTTAATCCCAGCTCTTGGGAGGCAGAGCCAGGCGGATCTCTGTGTGTTCAAGGATACAGCCAGCATGGAGACACACGCCTTTAATCTCAATACTAACCATAGAAGACCTAGAGGTCTGTACAGACAGGCAGTGACGAGGGGATCATGTGGTTGGGTTTACAACCAATGAGAAGTTAATAAAAAGGATAAACAGACAGGAAGTAGATCTCTTGCTGAAGAGGACAATAGCAGCAGTGAAGGGTAAGGTTTTTAGCTCTGACCTCTTGGGCTTTCATCTCTGCATTGGCTCTGTGTTTCTTATTTAACAAGGCCGTTCATCTACAGTGGGATGTGTAAAAAATGACATCTTCTGGACTTAAAGTTAGAGGCTCAACTCAGGAGGTCTGTGTGCTACTTTGATGCATGTAGACTTTGTCCTGAGGACCATGGGAGTCCGTAGGCCAACCTCATCTCTGTTGGTAGGTCTTCCCACAGAGGCATTGGGATAGGAAGAGATGGGTTCAGACTAACGAATATTTCCATATATATCAGGGCAGTTCTAGACACTGTCCATGGTAACCTCTTTCTCCAGCCTCCTAGAACATTCCTCATCCTGCCTCTCTGTCAGCACAGCACTTCAGCCCTCGGTGGCATGTACATCTCCCTAAACCAAATGTGAGGTGACTTTGGGGATGAACTGATGCTTCCCATCCTTTCACACCCCAGTGTGGGACACCCAATCAATATTTGCTCAGCTAGGTTAAATAAGGGCGTTAGTCAGGTCATAGAGAGCGTGACCATACCTGGCAGTGGATAAGGCGACTCCATAGTCGGGCAAACTCGTCCTGATCCAGCCGCCCATTCACCTTCAGCTGGAGGAGGAGTTAAGTGCCATGCAGTCCAGAGGGCAATGGGGAAGGGGAGTTGTTTGTCCCTCTAACAAAGCCAGGGCAGTTTTGTCCTTCAGCTGTGTGTAACCCAGCGCCATGTTGGCCCCATGCCAGCTGGCTCCCACTCTGTCTAAAGGTGACCTGCTTCAGATTTGTTTTACAAAATAAAATGTGTTGTTAAAAGGAAGGCTCCCTGAGAAAGAGGCATCAGTTTTGGTTATAGCCAGCAGAAGAGAGGGACCCCCTACCCCTGCCACGACATGGCCTTCACCAGTTGGGCTGGGTTCCTGGGCAGGGGAGGGTAGGGAGGAGCGTGCAGGGGGCCTTGCAATGCAGAAGTAGTATGGATAGGTAAATGTGCCATCCCTGGGCCATGTGTGTAGCTGGGATGCTTCCCCCCCCCCTTATAGTAGGCAACTAATACAGGAAAGATAATGGAGCTATGAGAGCACCCTACGCCAGCACTCAACCCCAGGGGAGGCCCTATGTGTAGTTCCACAGTACAACACAGTGCACAGGTCTTTTCTATCCTTTTCTTTTCTTCCCCTAGCTGGGTGCCCTGGCCACGGGGCTGCAAGGGCCATTTGGATTCCTCTGTGCCTCTGAGTGACTCCAGACCACAGCCGGCGAAGACAGCACTGATTTATGATTCCATCAAGAAGCCTTCTTGTTCTACAATAGCTGGCTTCACATTCACAATCGAGCCTTGTTAACCAGTGTGAGAGGGGGTGATCTGTCTCTCTCGGGAGACAGCCACAGCCTGGGGAGGAGCTGCCAGGCTTGGGATCCATCCTACGTGGCCAGTCTCTCTCCTGCCTAGATAGAGATTGGGTAGAGGAGAAAGGCCCCTTGGAGAGGGTGTTAAGAGGAGAATTAAGAAATTAAAATTTGATTCCTGGTCCCGTTCCTCGTGGCCACGGAACTAAGCTAGCCACCAAATTGCCTCAAGGCCACCGTCAACTCATACAAAAAAAAAAAAAAAAAAAAAAAAAACCACCATGTGAGCCACAAGGGGGTGCCACTGCTGTGCACTGTAGACGAAGGAGGTTTGAGAGTTCCCAGGGGTTATCTTTTTAAATTGGTGGCCATCTGAGTAAGGAATCCAAGCAGTGGCGATTTCTCCAGCACTGAAGGAAAGGGCCAAGGGAAAAAGAGTTCCCACTGGAGGACGTAGTACAGGCTGAGGTTAGAACACAGACCTTGGAAGCTGAAACTTTTATTTCAGATCCATGTATAGCTTTCAACTAGCTGTGTAAGCTGGGCAAAAATACTTGACCTCTGTGCCTTTCACTGTCCGATGGGATAATAGCCGTTGAACCACAAGGGCTGTTGCAAGTGTTACAAATGCACTTCCTTAGGATTCCCAGAAGTTTGGTCAGCAGTGGCTACTGCTATCGCAGCTGTGATGAGCTAAATTCTAGAGTAAATTGGGAGAAAAGGCACAGGATCCATGTCCTGATCTATAATTAGAACCCCGGGTTAGCCCTCAGGGCAGGTGGGTTCCTAGGGCATCAGGAGGGGATGCCTGCAAAGGATACATCCATCAGAGCCACGATGCTTTGGCACTGGTCCAAGGAGAAAGTGTCCCCTGGAGACCCTGTGGAAAGAGAAGGACTGAAGGTCCACTGAGGGAGCCCACATGGGAAACGGGGCCGGAGCCAGCACACCTCTGAGCTGACATACCTGTCAGGAACTCTTGGTTGAGAAGTTTCTGAAGTTGGGTGGCATCAATGTCCAGCCCCTGGTCCAAAACAGGAGAAAGATGGGTGTGAGATGGGAATCGGGAGCCAAGGGATAAATCCACCCAACTCTGTAGCAGCTCTCTGATGTATAAGCCTTTCCCTTCCATAGCATGTCTACTCACTCTTTGTCCTGGGCCTGCCCTGGGTTCTGGCCATGTTGCTCACCCCCTCCCTGACATCCATCATGATGGTTGGTCCTGACCCTGGGCTCCGTCACACTGCTTCCTTCCATTTATTACTGGACAGAAAGCATACTTCTTCCTCCCCTTCTCACAGTGGCTGGCACAGACAGATTGCCTTCAGGAGACCATCTCAGGATGACCAGTGCAGCCCTTTAGGTGTGTTCTCTACTTCAAGAAGGACTGAGAAGAAGTGATAACATCATGTATGCCTGCGTGTGGTAAGAGGAGCTAAACTTACTCAAAAGCCAGGCTACTAGAAGCTGCTATCATGGAGCACATCAAGTAGGTCTTCCAGGTACGGAGGCTTTCCTTAGATTAAAAGCAGAAAGCAGCTAAGGTGGTGGGTAAAGAGGGTGTTTTCTAGGCCTGATCTCAGGAGGAGGTCATGGTACTAACCCTTCCCTGCAGACAGGCACTGGGCAGCCTGGTGGGCAGTGTCTTTGATGATAATTTTTACAGAGAAGCATGGCTGCTGTACTTGGGGGAGCTGGCACTGGAGTAAGGTTTCTCAGTGGGTAGACTTGGAGAGGGGCACTCCTTGGGGTCTCCTGAGACCAGCTCCTTACAGATACCTGCCCCCACAGACCCCACACACTGTCCCTTTCTCCTCTTAGGGTTGGCAGTACCGCCTGCCCTGAAAGCAGGAACAACCCCATATCCTGTCATTGTAAGGACCTACAGTGAGAAGCCCAAGCCTCTAAGATGCTAGTGTCTCATGCTGGTCCTTATGCCATCCTTCTAACCTTGCATAGTTTGCAAATATCAGGGAAGTCGGCTTTATGTGCCCCACATCAACCGAGTTTTTCTCAGAAGTTGATATACTAAGGAGGGACTCGCCTTCATGGAATTGCCCACTAGGCAACAAGCTGAACAGAGCCATGGACAACATCCACTTCTGTCTCCCTATTACCCACCCAGGGCACATTTGGACCAGGACCCCACATTCTGTCAGCCACCAGGAGCATTCGAGGAACTGATGGCCAGGATGGCCATGGTGGTTACTCAGACAAGTTCCCTAAGAATTGTATGAATTATGGGACCCTCAAGGGTTGGGGCTGTGGTACTTCCAGATCTAAGTGAACTAGGTACTTGGGGGATGTCCTGGGAGTTTGGGAAATGCTTGCCAATTGAATTCATAAAGGATGGTGATTAGATTTGCTCTGTCTAATCCTAGGGCCCAAATGCACAATTCCTTTCTGACAAGCAGGCCTGTTTATACCATCCCCACTGCCATGGCTAACAAAAACAACTCGTGGCAATGGGTGCTAATAAATGACTGTACTAATGGAGCTGGTTAAACCAATGGGAGATATCAGGAGGAAAGAGACAGTGAACGCATGAGAAATGGCATTGCTTAAAATTTCTTGGGTGGTCACAATCTCTGAGCATAGTCTGCATGTAGTACAGGATGCTGCCAGAATGCCTTGCTCAAGGATGCCTGCCTAAGAGGTACCCTAGGCACAAAACTGTATTAGTATCTTATCCTAATTCTGACCAGTGTCCAGTACCAGCAACAGTCACTGTAGGGGGAGCCAGCTGTCTCTTGGAAAAGTCCTGATTAGGGAGCCTGTGCCATCCCGTCATATGACAAATTATATTTTTATTTTCGAAGTACAGGTACATGGACCTGTGTGAAAAATGTGCCACCTGCCCTGGAGAAGCTTGGTCTCAGGCATCCTAATCAGGTCCTGCTGGCCACCTCAGAGCAGCTAATCCAAGCCTGGGTGTCTGCTCCAGGGGATCTAATCTGTCTTAATTCAACCTGACAGAAATGATTGAGCACCTCCTCTGGGCCAAGGACAGTGATCGGTAGTTGGGGACAAGGAATGCATATGAAGTCGTCTCTGCCTTTGGGGATCCAGACGGGGAACAATGGTCTTCTGGGTCAGTCTTGTTTCAACAAGAGCTGGCCTGAATTTTGGGCTAATGCCGATGGACTGCTCTTTGCAGCACTCACCCCTCACTCCAGCTACCCTCTTCATCTGCGCCCCCCTCTTTTGCCGGTGGGTCCAACCTGTACCTGAGATACCACTATGCCATTTAGCCCTCTGAGTACAGAAGCACGGAATGGAATCCTTCCTTTCTCGGCCTCTGCTTGGCCCACGGTACACAAAATCATCTGTACCCACTTCCTGCTTCCCACACCGACACCGTTATTAATGGTAAAAGGCCCATCCCACGGAACCATTGGCAGCTCTTTTATCCCGAGGAGTCAAGGAGTTCTTTATAGCAGTTTATTAAACCATTAGGAAAGCCCCGTGTGCACATAGGTGGCTTGGCAGGAAGAGAGCCGTTGGGGCTTTCTGAAGCTGGCCAGCTCTCGGGAGGAACAATGCCAGGTTTGGGGGTGGAGGAGGGGGGGGGCGATGGCCGAGCCAGAGAAAGAAAGGTTTCAAGGGGTGCTGCCAACTGCTTGTCTAAAGGCTTAAGCCACAATATATCCTTTACACACAGCCCATAATTACCCTCTTCCTCCTTAAGCTCTCTGTTCCAGTGGGATTCCACCCACATCGGGACATCCCTTGTCTCTGGAGCTCGGCAGCCAGAGTATCTGGGGATGGTCCAGGGACAGAAAGTGGCTGATAAGATCAAGCCCTCTTCACTGTGTGCATTCCGGCAAGCGACTGAAGAAGTCTCTGTCCCTGGATTCCCTCCCCCCAACACCCCATAAGTAAGGTCCGTGGGTGTAGATAACATACCTGATCCACGTATCTGTAGAAAATGCTTTTGGGGGATCCATTTTCTGAATGACTTCCCTGGATCAAAGGGAAAATAGTTATGTCAAATTTCTGGGGAAGAGGCCACTTACGTGGTACAGCTTTGTTTTCGTAAGAGCTGGCCTGATTGAGGGGTATAATTAGCATCACCTGATCTAAGATAGAAGCCTCACCTGGTGGTTGGAGAGGTGAGGTGGGGGAAATCAGACTTTAAGGGGATTTGAAAACTGAAGTGTGTTAGAAGGAAGAGACTTGAGTCCAGTCTGGTCTTTTGGGGTTGGCCTTCTCTTCTGCCCCACTCCTTAGAGCTACCAGAAGGCTGTCATAGCATCTCTGTCTTTCCTGGTCAACAGCAAGGCCAGAAGAGGAGAAAGAAGCCCTTGTGGGGATGTGACGTAGCTAACAAAGACAGCAAACAGGACCTGCATACCTACCTTAAGGGCTCTGAGGTTGAAACTGCTGCTCGGATTCCTAGAAAACCAGGGGAACAGTGTGACACAAATGACCCGCACTGTATTCCCAGGAGTCTACCTGTGGAGGGCACCCAAAGGCACCTAACATCTTCAGCAAGGGTGAGTGGAAGGCAGCCATGGCAGTAGACACGTAATGATCATACGTCCATTTGAGGTGGACATGGTCTGGTTTGCTAACCACTGACTTGTGCATCCTGAGATGCACATGGGCAGTGATGTCGACTGCCAGGATGCAGAAGACTTTTGACTCATTCTCCACCCTGAACTGGCAGTGATGGCTACCCTTACATGTTCACTGTTAAGACCTCTCTGATTATAGTAACTCCTGCCTCAGGCTCCAAGGGACAGGACTTGTTGATCCCAATCTCAAGACCCTGTAGAATCAGAGTCTGTTTTTCAGGTCACTCTGGCTTTCTGGTCTACCCCACATTCTGGCCATGTTTCAGACAAGTGAATATAATAGATGGTATGACCTTCCCGTGTATATGACTAACAGTGCTTATTCAACAAGCCCTGTGCTCTGCTACATCCCTGCTTCTTCTCAGCTCTTTCTTTCTACATGCATGGTCTTCTCTTGAAGTTACCAATGTCTGTTTACCTTCAAGGACCAGCTCAAGTGCCATTTCCTCTGAGAAGCCTTTCCCAGTCCCTAAGGCCAGAAGCGGTCCCTCCACTCTGTCCTATCATGCAGTTTTACATTGCTGTTGGGATCAAGTTATAGGTTCATGGGCTTTCTCATTCCCCACTGCAGTGAGCATCTTAGGAGCAAGACTCATATTGTGTCCTTGGCACACCACATTCTGCAGAAGACACACAGAGCACTGCTCCTGAAGACACACTGGGGTAGAATGAAACACTTAGGACCCCCGCGCCTCTATACCTGTCCTTGTCTGGCATTTTGAGGAATATTCGGAGCAGGAACTCAACTTCCTTGCGGTGTGCCGAGGGAACAATTACATAGGTCCCAGGGCTCAGATGGAAAGACTTGGTGAAGTTGCATTTGGATACATAGTCTATGCCCTGGGCAGCACTTCTAAATGGGGAGAAAAAGGCAGGTGGCAGTCTCTCCTGGAACTGCTGGAACTAGAAGAAACAAGATTATTGTGAGAAAGACCTCTCCATACATGAAACCTGGCACCAGGACTGGTTGCTGCGTTCTAGAGTTCTAGACCCTTCTCTGCTCACCCAACCCAGCATTACAAGTCCTGGAAAAGGAGACAGTGGTGGCTCAGACCCAACATTAAACAAACGAACAACAACAACAAAACCCAATAGCATCTTATCTACCAGGTGTGTCCCACCCATAGTCTGTGGGTCCCAGGACAGCCAGGGATGTGGCCCGACACATTTATCGATGATAAAAATCATGTTGCAATGTCAAACGGTTGGACTTGGCAGATTCCAGGCCCCACAGTGGATGCACCAATATCTGACAGGTAATTTTATCTCACTAATCTACTAGCATCCTGGGGTTCCAGTTTCCTTTCTTATTTATGTGCAAAGAAGACGTGGAAATTAGTGACCGTGTCCCAGTGTTGAATTCCTTCTGGGGTCCCCACAGCTTTGTCTCCTCTAAACCTTTAATCATATGCGCTGGGCTGCCACAGGACTGCAGGGTTGAATTTTCCCCTCTCCCTCGCTTTCATCTCTCCAGCAGAGCCTCGGGATTCCTTCTCATTGGAAAATAATGGTTCTCAATCATTTTCCTTTTATTTCAAATTTTCTTACAGATAAAACAATAAATATAACGCGATTCCTATTACCAGATGTCACATACATATTATATAATAAAAACCCCTTACTAAACAAATTTTCCTACTACATGTGAGGCATGGTGATTCCATTTAGAATGGCTATACAGCATGAAATGGTTATCGATGGGCTCTGCCTTGGGGGAAGAAGAGGGGGAATTGGGAAGTTTGTATCAGGGGATAGGGCTAAGACCAGGCAGGAGGTGGGCCTCTGTCCCAGGTGTACAGCAGAGGGCAGGTGTAACCTCCAAAGCAGTTTCGCCGCTCTCAAGAGCAGCCCTTGTAAGTTTGGGGACCTGGTTTTTTTAGGTCCTTTGACAGAGGTAATGGTGGGGCCAATTCTTTTCCCAAAGGGCAGCTCTGACCTCTGGCACTGGGTATAAGTGTGTGTGCAGAGGTGTGTGAGCAGCCTTCCTCCTACAAGCTAGGTTAGGATGGCCTTGGTTACCTGCCGCTCTCCCTTCTGCCCCACACTTTTGCAGCCCTGTTGAGAGCAGCCTTGCTCAGGGGCCGTGAGAAGTGTGACTAGGGAGTGGTAAAGGCCTTGGTGTAGTGTATAGATAGAGGCACCTGCTTCACGCAGATTCATGGCCAGGAAGGTCCAGAGCTGGCTCTATTATTCTAACAGTAGGGCTTGTACCATTTTCTCACTCAAGTCCCCGCTGTGTTTTGTGTTCTCCATCTCAGGGACCTGGAACTCTGATCCATTTCATTCACTTGAGAGCTTCTCTCAGAACCCTTCTAGGTGTTCTCTCATGGTTGGGGTACCTAGGACCAGAGGTAGATCCCAAGCCCCAGCTTTGTGGCTGGGCCATGGCTAAGGGACAGATCTCTTTCCTGCCAACTTTCTATCTGTATTTCTAGGTCTCCCTGCTCTGGGAGATGCTACTCTAGACACTGTCTACTTCTTGGCACCTTGTAACAGCCTTGGGCTGGGGCACTGTTACCATTTGCTGTCTATGGCCACATCTTGACCCTAGTCCATACATTGTACCTTCTTCCTCTTGGCAACAGAGGAAGGTTACTGCAGACTTCACAGTCATGGCAGGCTCTGTGCCTGTGAGGTTGTACCCTCAGAAGTCCATTGTCCCTTTCCATCCTTCCTTATAGCCTTCAGATCTTGTATCAATACTTGACCAGGTCAGGCCATTGGATATAAAAAGATATCCGATTGCTTATTTGAGAAGAGATAGGGTGTATGTCCCAAAGCTCTATGTAGCCAGCAAGTGCTAGATTTGGGGACTGATTTAATAGTCTGAAGGTCTTCCCTAGGTACCCCTTACTCCCGCCATCATCTTAAATGCACAGAAACCCACTGGGCCAAGCTTCTCTAGGAGGACCAAATGCTTCAGGATGCTTCCACCATTGCAGCCCCTCTTGGATGTTAAAGAGAGACACCCAATGGGGTCCAACCCATATACCAAGACAACCAATCCTGACCTAGTTCGTTGACTTGTTTGGAGATGCTAAACTGACAGCTGATTCAAGAATCAGCCAATTGGTGGGCTTGGGGCACGTGGAGTCCCCAGTGTTGGAAAGAGGCATAACAGTTTACCAGGGGACAGCATCAGAAGTGTGGGAAGTCAGTGAGGACAGCCATACCTGGGAGTCTACCTGTGGAAGAGAGGAAAAAAGGGCTTCAGGAAGACACAACAGAAAGACGACTGGGTCTCTCATCCTAGCGCACGGCACATGCTACTTCTCGTGTGGCCAGCCTGTCTGGTGTACGGGGTTTGTGTTGGGGGTGGGGATAGAGTCTTCGTTTGTGTGGAGTTGTAGGAAAGGAAACCTAGACTTGTCGTAGGGAGCAGCAAAGGGTAGGAAACCGAAGAAGAAAGATATCTGAGAGGAGGCAGCATCCCCTTTACGTCTTAGAGCAAGCTATGGTTATTGTTCAGAGTTATGACGGTAATATCGAAGGAAGAAGACACCAATAGGACCGCAGATAAGACATAATCTCAGTCAAGTGCAGGTTTCCCAAAGTCAAGTGCAAATCCCTCAATATGGAGGGCACCGATAGAAGACAAGTTTGATCCCCCCTGACTGTAAACATGACAGGTGTTTGTTCTGTGGATATGACCCTCCCCTTGTAGGGAATGTATGTGCACATATGGATGGTGGGAAGCACCAAGGACAGAGTTCTGTTTTTATGCCCCTCCATAATTTTCAAAGTCCTTCTGTGTGATCCGCTGGCTATTCAGCATAGTCCTTTGAACAGATGCTTAGGTCCGTGTGTGGAAATAGAGGCTGGGCAGGCAAGAGGCAGAACAAGGAACAGGGCAAGTTGTGTTGCTTCCTTTGCAAGGAAGTCCCCCTTCCCATCCAGCACAGTCCTTCCCAGGGAGCCTGGGTTTTGATTCCTTTGCACTGGGAGCTGGGGTGCTACACGTGCAGACTAACCCCTTTGTGGGTGTGATCAGACCCATAGATACTGGGAGGGAGGTGTCAAACCCTGGCTTGTGGGAGGACCTTTGGGGAGTGGGGAAGAAACAGCATGGACTCTTGTCCCTTTTCTCTGTCCTGACTTTTGCCTGCCTGTTCACACACCACTGGTATCCGGTTGAACAGAATAGTGTGCCCACAGCTGCTGGGGAGGCTCACACTAAGCTGGGAACCCTATTTCAGCTGCATTAGCATTATAATCGCTCAGCCCTAGGGACTCCCATAAGCCTGGATGCTGGCAAACTAATTGTTTCTGGCTGGAATGCAAAAAGAACCAAAGTACCTTTTTTTTTTAAGATTAAAAAATTTATGTATATGAGTGTTTGCCAGCATATATGGGTGAGTACCAAGTGCATGCCCAGTGTCCAAGAAGGAAGAAGGCATTGAAAACCCTGGAACTGGAGTTATACACAGTTGTGAGCTATCATATGGATACTAGGAACCCAACCTAGGTCCTCTACAAGAGCAGCAATCACTCTCAACCACTGAGCAATCTCTCCAGTCCCCCGAGAATCTTACGAGATCTAGGCTGGCTTTGGCATTTAACTCAGTCAGGATCCTGGAAGGCCCACTGAGATCGCAGGAAGCCTGAGGAGGCCTCTGGTCCGAGTGCACTTTTGGTAAGTGTCACCTGAGAGATAAGGCATCTCTGTGCCAAGGGGAAAAAGGAGCTGGGGAGAATTTCAAAGATGGAGTTGATAACCACCTCAGGATAGCTCCTGAACTATAAGCTTGTTTGTCCATTGGTTGTGGGTGGGATTATCTAGAAAATGAAGCTCAAAAGGGGGATGAGAGCTGAATAAGAAGACTCTACAGCTAGACACGAGCCTATAGACTGACCTATATGGCTACTTTTGGGCCAAGAGATTTGTTGTAAATGACACCCGCTTCTTCCTGCCTTTTCTGTTTAATTACTCAGTAGTTGGGTATCGGCATGAGCAGGTATGTGTGTATAGTGAGGTGGCAGGAATGGAGGTGAAAGGGGCACCCAAGTGGAAACGCCCAGGTCACAAAAGCTCTCCTTCTGCATCTGAGGCCTGGAGACAGGGAGTTATTTGGCTTTTTTAGCTACTGCAGTGGAAGCCCATGTGCTTCCTCCCACCAAAGAGGAGGCAGGAGCCGGATGGAGGATCAAAGGACACTTGTCTACTATTGCATCCTCAAAGGATGCTCATTGGTAGTCTTGGCAGGCAATGCCTGGGGCAACTTAAGTATTGACTGAATCCCAACAATCTCTTCTGTAGGAACTTGGACTCTTAAAGAATGAAGTAAAAGGGGTAGGAAGAAGCAAGAGTTCTGAACTATGTTAAGAGAGTGGAGCCCAACAGGCTCTCCTTGCAAGGCCAGAATCCTTGTTTCTCTGGTTGCTCTGGGTATCATGAGAAAAGCAAGTGTGTAAGGCCTGCTGAGAACCCCGGGCCTGGGCTTACAGGTGCTGAGATCAAACTTTACCCATCACCCCAGCTGTTGGAAAGATGATTCTTCTTCTCTGAGTTCTGGGTTTCATATCTATGAAAGTAGGGATGGCCATGGTTTTGGGGCACTAAATGAGAACACGCTTGTGGCTCTGCATTGCCATATCCATGAGACCTTCTCACTAGCAAGAGACACAGCTGTGAGCAGGACAGTTCCCCATGAGCAGAGGAGGCAGGGAACTTGTCTGGCCATAAATGGGCTGAGGCCCATGTGTTTGAAATGTACTTTGTCTCAGTGAGCAATTGTAGTTGTTTGGGAGGCTAATCCCACCTCTAGCCTAGTGTGTCAACAGACGTCTGAGCTCTGTGGTACTCATTAAAGGGGACAGGTGTGTCTGACTGAGGGCTTGAAGGTCATCCGGTGCCCAGTCTCAGCATCACCGTTAATGCTGGCATGCCATTTCACACCTCTTGGACTAGTTTCTCCAACTCTAATGTGAGGAGATAGACTACTAACATCACAGGGATTCACAGTCTTATTTATACAATGAGGCTGTGGGATGTGAGAATCATTCACTCTGCCTTTGGGATGCTTTGAATTTCTTGGGAGAAGAGGCGGCTGAGCCATTAGATTTTCTTTGTAATTTTTTTTCTTTTAAATGAGTTCCTTAGTTATCTGTCTTGTGTGTGTGTGTGTGTGTGTGTGTGTGTGTGTGTATGTGTGTATGTGTGTGTGTGTGTTTAATTTTATCCAATGATTTAAATTTAATCAATGATTTTCAAAAATGACACAAGCAGGCAGCCTCTGAGGACCTTGTTAAAATGCAGATCATTTCAGACTGCCCCTAAAATTCTGATTCAGGGAGTTGGGGACTGGCTCAAGGATCTGCATAATTCTAGAAGCTGGTCTCCTATTTGAGCACTTGAGACACAGGCCTTCTTCGATTCTGAAGCATACCTGAAAAGCTGTACCACACAAGTGGCACAGGTAAGGGGTATATGCCATTTAGAGATGGGCAAGAGGCTGGAGGGATGGCTTGGGGTTGAGAAAAAGTGTGCTGCTCCTACAGAGTTCTGTTCCCAGCAGCTGCACAGGAGAGCTCACAGCTGCCTGTAACTCTAGATCCAGAGGGCTCCAACCCTCTTCTAGACTCCGTGGGCATCTGTACTCCCACATGCACACACCCACACATACATAAGAGAATAAAAATTTTAAAAAAAATTGTCAAGTCTGATTCTCTTTTCGTTTAAATTTTTCTTAAAAATTTAGAGCTGGACACGTGACTGCTACAGAGCCTTTGAGCTTTCACGACTAAATCTTCCGGCTTGGCCAGCATCTCTATCTAGCTCCAAATGTACATAGTGTCTCTGAAGAGCAAGTCCCCGAACAGATCGAACAGGTTGCATACCTTGAACACCTGGAACTGTAATGGGAATATCTCCTCTTCTGTGTTCAGGCTCTGTGACATGATGGTAAAGGCCACAACAACATTGTTGCCGACTGTGGCCTCTTGAACACCAAAGAGATACTGAGTATCCCTGGCATGTCCTCCTAGAAGAGAAGGAGTCATTACTAGAGCTCAGAAGAAACACCACAGGGCTCCCAGTGCAGTACTTTATGGACTTGGGTTTTAATCTCTGTTTGGAAAGCTAAGGCCTGGGTCTGCCAGAGTCACAGTCAGTAGTTGTGAAACAAGTTCTTTAAATTCTGAGCCTCAGTCTCTTAGTCTCTTTCTCTTAAAAGCAGAGAGGGGAATATTATCCCTACTTGAGCAAAAATGTCTCCTAAAACTATAAATTCAGCACCGTGTGTGTGTGTGTGTGTGTGTGTGTGTGTGTGTGTGTGTGTGTGTGTGTGTGTGTGTACATGTTTGTGGAGGCCAGATATAAAATGCATGTGTTCTTCAACTGTACCTCATTTTATTTTATTTTTTTGGAAGCAGGGTTTCTTCCTGACCCTAGATCTCACTGATTTGCTAGGCTAACTAGGCAATAACCTTCAGGGATCTGTCTCTGCACACAGTATTTACAGGAATTCAAACCACCAGAACTCAGGCCTTCTGCTTAAAAGTTAAATAATTTACTAACTGAGTGATTTCCCCAGCCATAAGAATCTATGTTTTAAAATATTTATTTATTTATTTACTTACTTACTTACTTTTGTGTTATGAGGAATTAAACCCACCCACAATCTCACACATACTGAATAAAGATTTTCATACCGAAATATATGCCCAGCCTTCTTTTGACTTTCTTGCATTGGAACAAAGTTTTACTGCCCAAGCTGAGACTGAACTTCCAAGGTGCTCCAAACTGGCCTTAAGTAGCTGGGGTTTCAGACCTGAACCAC